TTTTTTTTTTGCTGTGGCAAAATATACATAAAATTTACCATTTCTAAGTATACAGGGCTAGCGGCATTCAGAACATTTGCATTGTGCAATCATCACCGCCATCCATTTCCAGCATTTTTCATCTTCCCCAACTGAAACTCTCTACCCATTAAACACTATGTCACCATTCTCCCTTCACTAAACTCTTAATAGCTAGAAGAATGTTCTGTTTCAGCAGAAATCAATGAGCTCATTTCAGTGAATTATAGGGCTACAATCTACAAAACAAGTGCAGGAAAGAGAACCACCAACCTGCTCTGTGTGCCAAAATTCTGGAACACCTGCTGTTTGAATTATATTAAAACTTGCTGAGATTTGGTTTTGTTAAAACTCGGAAACATCTGCTCTGAGTCTCGGTCTTTGCTCAGTTGAGCTTGTCTTTATTTTTGAAACTCTGACTCAGCAGAACTCCAGCTAACTCTGCAAAGAAGAATGCAGTAATCTGTGACCAACCACACACACAGTGGGCTCTCTGTGACTCTTGGTGGCCATGCACATGCCCTAGAGAATATCAAATGCTTAAGACATACTGGGTACGAAAACACTGTGCCCTGCCTCCAGCCTGGCTCTTGAATGAAAGTAGCTCAACCCGATGTTAGAGAAACTTTTGTAAAGACAACACAAACCAGGGGTGGCTAAAATATGTGATGTGGCTGAAACATTCAAAAGTCAGAAGTCCCAAATACTTAGCCAAAATCTTTTCCATACTTAACCAAAATCTTTTCCATACTGCCACCCAGACCTTTGGCTGATAAAGATTGGTTGGCCAACATCACACACATACACAATTCCTATCTTTATTTTGCATCTCTAAGATATTGTAGCTTTTGGCAAGCCAGTAAGTACCATGGCTTGGCATGACTGTGGTAGTATGTGGTTTTCCAGAGGGAAAAAAAAATTGTAACTGCCAGAATGGCATTGACTGTTGCATCTTAGCCACAATATCTAAAGAGCCATGGGAGGTATTGGGGAGCCCTTCTGGAACCCCACCAGTTTCCTCTCACCCAAGAGAAACTACCATTTTTTAGGTCAGTGGCCTTGGGAACAGTAACCTTGGTATACAACATTGGAGTAGTACTCATGAGAGGCTCCAGGGTTATTATTGAAAGATACTCATCATCTTGATTACTCCATCTACCATCCTGCATCTCTGTTCTGAAAAAAATTCTTAAATGAATTCAAAGTAATTCCATTTTGGAGCTCTCATGACATGACTTTCACCCCATCTCCCCACATTAAATGGAAACACTCCAACCTGAGACCGCCACTCAGGAAAAACGCAAAGCGATTTTTAATTCCGGTTCCACTTTCCATTCACATTAGCCCATCCTAATAGGTCTGCCTTTTGTCTCCTACTAATCTCCTCACAATGAAATCATTCTTTAGACAATAAAGTTTTAATATAAAAGTGATGATAGAGTTAAAATTAAATCTATAAGAATTTAAAATGGTAAAATGCTTATTACTTTATGGCAAATGACTTATTACAGTGTGCGTGAGATTTATATTTTAGTTCTTGCTTAAAGGCTCATAAAAGTATCTCAATTATGAATGACTAAATTTGTTTTTAACACTCAATTCTTTGGATTTCTCTCTTCTTTCCACTGTGAACAAAGGTGGGCTGGAATTATTGCGTTTACATGATCAGCTACAGAGGGAAGGGAGGCACATAGTAGTAATTACATAGAAATAGTGGATCTTTGACAGGCACACAAAAATAGCACAGTTTAACACTAAGAAGTAGACCCGGGTCTCCTAACAGTATCCTTAAGTATACAAATGTCCCTTAAGTATACAAATGAGAATTACCATCACCATTGATCATTATCAGCCTGTCTGACATTTATAGGCATAACAATATGTCAGGTATCTCACAAGAGAGAAGAAGACTTCAAAGAAAATTTTGTTAATAGGTTTATGCAACAACTGGCAACTTTTCTAATCTAAGCAAATATGAAATAATAATGTTTAATAATTCAGTAGGGAAATAAATTAATATCTCCTCCTGAATGAAATGGAGCACTACCTTTATAATGCCAACCATGGCCATCAGAACATTAAAAGTCTTTCCAAGGTCCAGCATTCTTTGACCTTCTCTTGTGCCATATATTTTAGGGACCCTTGAAGTATGAGGGATAAGACAAGGATAAATACTAGTTCCCTTTATACTTAATTAAATTTCGGAATAAGAAGAGGGGCCACCTAGTTCTCCTTGCTATACAAAAAGAAGTCGAGTTCACCCAAAGTTATGAAGGAAGTTGGTTTTTCCCATATCTGAGAACCATAGAGATAAGAATGAGAATGAAGCATTTGCCTGCATAAACCCTGTTTCTGTCCCACATTCCAGTGTGTCTTCCCATTTTTTCTTTTTTTGTACTCATTAATGGAACTGGGTGTATTTCTTCTTCATTCATTTTTATGTAAGCATTCTACAGTATAGTTTTCAGAATTCCTAGACTTCTCAGAGAATGATTATAGATATATAACATCAACCTATCTGAGCATAATTCTAGCTTTTTTAATATGAAAGTCCTACTTTAAAAACAGTAATCTTTTTCTTAAAGGAGATAATGTTAGTAAAATTTTTGATAGCTCTGGAGAACTTTTTCAAACTTAATTTCATAAAAAATATATGTCAATCTCAGTTTTTTATCACTTGATTCATTGGGATAAAATATTCCTATTACTCTCTTGAGCCGAATATGATAGATGACTTTTGTTCCCTTTTTCTGTTCTGCCTTTTGTTTAAATTTTACTTTTCTAACTGCCGTATGTATGTCAAGGTGTCGCATATTACAGAGAGCTTACATAGATATGTTTTTAAGGGAACGCTTTGTAATGCACCGAAGAAAAATAGTTTATTGCTCCAGAGAGGTCTAAGAATATTGTGCTGGGCACTTGAATTCTAATCTACTTCTCTTGATTGATAACTGACCTGAGTGAGACAAGTCACTTGACTCTTCCATGTGATATTTCCTAAAATGTATGGTACAGTTGAAAATCAGGCAACTTAGTTACTAATGTCCCTTCCAGATCAATAATCAATAAAAGTTTGTGCAAAACACCTCTCTGAAAGTAACATTGATTGAGTTCTTACCACGTGCCAAAAGGGCCTGTTGAATATCCTGTTTAATCCTCAGACAATTCCAAAGTATTATTATTATCCCCATTTTATAGATGAGGAAACTGGAAAATAGTGAGAACAAGCAACCAGCCCAAGGTCACAGAGCTAGTAAATATCAGTCCAGGTTTCTAACCCAGTCCATCTCACTCTCAAGGACTAGCTAAAGATATCTACTTTTCGTGCAAAAATATAAAATATTATGTCACAGTCCAGGGACTCACGTACAGTCTTTCCCTCATTTGTCTTTTAGGAGATACAATATTCATTATTCTGAGGAAGCAGAAGCTGATCTTCCTGCACTGGTACCACCACATCACTGTGCTCCTGTACTCCTGGTATTCCTATAAGGACATGATCGCCGGGGGTGGTTGGTTCATGACTATGAACTATGGCGTGCACGCCGTGATGTACTCTTACTATGCCTTGCGAGCAGCAGGTTTCCGAGTCTCCCAGAAGTTTGCCATGTTAATCACCTTGTCCCAGATCACTCAGATGCTGATGGGCTGTGTCGTTAACTACCTGGTCTTCTTCTGGATGCAGCATGACCAGTGTTACTCTCACTTTCAGAACATCTTCTGGTCCTCACTCATGTACCTCAGCTACCTTGTGCTCTTCTGCCACTTCTTCTTTGAGGCCTACATCGGCAAGATGAGAAAAACCATGAAGGCTGAATAGTGTTGGAACTGAGGAGGAAGCCATAGCTCAGGGTCATCAAGAAAAATAATAGACAAAAGAAAATGGCACAAGGAATCACATATGGTGCAGCTAAAACAAAACATGTGAGCAAACACAAAACCTAAGGCAGCTTAGGGATAATTAGGTTGACTAAACCCCGTAAGTTTATGATCTTTTTTGGGAAAGGCCTCGCTGAGTGCACCTCTATGTCAAAGGACTGCTGCTAGAAAACTCCATTCCCTCTTTATCTGTCAACTTTAGGAAAAATGAGAGCAAAAGTGAGCCAGAGGCAGAGAGAGAAAAATAGAAGGCCGGTGAAGGTATGAAAAGTATTTACTAAGTGTTGTATTTCTCTAAGGATTACAGTTTACTTTAAAAACAAAAACAAATAACTGTGCAAGCACATGCACACAATCCTTTCTAATCTTTTTAGAACCGAAACTGGAGCCAATAGAATAGATAAAAATGAAAGACACAGGGTGTATATCTGGAACATTAATGCTTTTGCAAAAATTAAAGCCTTGTAAGAAAGGTTAGTTCATTGTAGTCCCCTTGAGAAAGATGTCTTAATCATCTCTTATGAAAATGGACATAAAGAATTATATTTCGACTAAGAAAGACTGCTGTTTTTCCCTTTACAATACAGCCTCAGGCTATGAGTTTGCCAAAACCAAATGGGGCACAATAGTTTTCCAAGCTTCTTCCTGGGAGGATGGAAATAATGCAGCTCAATGTCAAAAGGGGCAGCTCCATCTCAGAGCATTTCTGATAATTTGACTGTAATTTCTACTCTTAAATGAGATATGAAGCATTATCTTTGGTTCAGGTGCCCTAAGCTTTTGAACAGAAGAGTACAGAATACAGGATAGAAAAGATAAACCTCAGCTGAATGGTTTGAAAATGGAATCTGTACTACATGTAAAAATGTTCAGCCCCATACCATTCTTAAGCTGGGAAAGGGAACAGATGGGGGAAAGAAGTGAGCCGAAGATCAATACAATATATACCCCTCCCTAATTTGACTTCACACATACTCATAACTTTCTACACGAAACCCTGTGGTACAGTCCATATTTTTTATATTTTTGTGAATTTCAAAAAAAAAAAATCTGCAGGGCTCTTCCTGATATTGGGTGAACACTGTGTTTCTGCATCATCTGCATTTGCTCCCTAAGCGATGCAGAGGTGTGTAAAGTGCCCTCTGCTGGTCAAGTGGAGATACTCCAAACACTTTATGGGAAGTTTGGCTGGAACAGTTGACAACAAAGGGCCCCCATAGACTTATCCTTCAAATTTAAATGTTATAAAATACACATCATATTTTTGGCCAAATCAGAAGACATTCTTCCGCTTCAAGTCAGCTTCAGAAATTTTTTTAAAGAAACTTTCACTCTGGAACTCAGAAAATCAATTTATTAAGAGCCATATTCTTTTTAAAAAAAGCTAGATAATTTATTATTGGTAATATTTCAGTCCTTTACAAGCCAAATAAATGTGTAAACATTCTTAGTATTTCAAAGAAGCAATTATGTAAAGTTGTTCAATGTGATATAATAGTATTCTAATGGGTTAAGTAGCTTAATGATTAGACAAACTAGTTGAAAAGATTAGGGGCTTCTACACTGCATAGATTACACACGTATAACCACACGTATGCACACAAATGTGAGGTACACTGAACTTCAAAGCCCAATGAATAGAAACACATTTTCTGGCTAGCAGAAAAAGAAACTCATTTATCTTTCTTGCTTTATTTGAGATTACAGTAAAAGGGATTTTTCAAATTATTTTTATATTATTTTAGCTTTAATTGTGCTGTCATTCATGAAACAGCTGCTCTGCTTCTCTGTCAGAAATGACAAGGGCTTTCTCAGCATCTCATTTATGTATGGAATTTAAAAGAATAAAGTTTTATTCCATTCTGTGTGAATGGTTTGAACAGTGAACAAAGAATCCATGCAAACCAAGTCATGACTGACAGACCAGGGGTGGGGGCGGGGAGTGTGCAGGGAGGGAAGCTGTTACATCTGTGTTAAATTATTGTGAAGTCTATGATGTCTTGACATTGGTTCATAGTTGGGGAACAATTGATGGAGGAATGTATTGTTATTAAGGCAAAAGCTGACATGAGCTGAAAAGATGGGTCCTGCTATAACAACTAATAGATTCATAGGATGCAAATAATGTTATTTTGAACTTTGAAAATACATGATTCTGTGCAATAAGCTTTTTTTCTTATAACAGAAAATAAGCAGAATTATTAAAATGAAAAGGTTAAATAACAGCTGACTTGAGTTTAATTGAAGGACCAGTTGGAGCTCATCTGGTTGATTTGATTTAATTATTTAATCCATTGATTTATCATCGATCCTTTAATGCAGGTTAGAATAAGGAAGTGAGCATAGACCTTAAATAGACTCTAAGTGACACCCAAGTACTTTCATTTTGATGTAGGTTCATACTTGTGTTCACTTGTGAGATAATTTAGAATTTTTGTTTACAGGTTGAATGTCTAATAGTTTTAAATAAGCTAAATATATCTAAAGGCATTTCTGATGTTAATCATGGGAGGAGAAAAACATTTAAAAAACAAAATTCTGGTATTACAGTTTCAGTACAATGATTTTAACATCTCAGCTTAGCTGCTTAGTTGTATCAAGATGGAAGGCCGGACCACTAGTTCATGGCAAATCTGAAACCTACTGGAGAATTGACTGCCACATAGATAATCCTGCTCTCAGTTAACATTCCAGGAAAACTCGGGCAGACACGTTTTTATAGCTGCCCCACTATGCTGCAATCAGTTATGTTTCTATTGAAGATTTTCCACTGCTTTCCAATAACAGTATGGTAAAAAAGTTCCTGCACTGAAAAAAAAAAATTTCCTTATTTCATATATAAGTACATGTAATTTGACTCACTAGGGCTGAGCATCAACCCAAGTCTATGAGTTTGCAATGAAAAACATTCTAGTGAGAAATACTCTATTCATAGAGCAGGAGGTTTTATCTGGACCTTGTAGTTTTACAAATGAGGAAAGAGCAACTGCTATATTATTCATATCCAGTGCCAGGCCAAGGTACCAAATGAATCATGTATTGAGGTGATTCCAGGTAATTTATTCCCATCCTTCTAATCTCGCTCTACTGCAAAAATTAGGGGAGGGACAATACATGGATATACATTGCTTAGGGGGAAAGAAAAGATGGATCACATCTCCTTCACTTCACCTCTTGGCTAACAGCTCTGGACTGAGTCAGGAACTCCGTTTGAGTGGGGTTTTGCAGAATGGAAGGACACTGCTAGGGAAGAGACCCACAGAAGTTTTTTAAAAATCAGATGACATAAAACCTGTCACATCAGAGTAAGAAATCACCTGAAGTCGATTACTCTGGAGTAGACTTCCAGAAGTCTGGCCTCATTCCCAGACTGCTGAATTACCTGAGAGAAACAACACACTCAGGTTACTATCTTCTTTATTCTGGTAGAACAGCATCTTCTCAGCGACTATATGTGTCACGCAACTGAGTCAGCTCCCACATGCTGATTCAAGAGAGTTGAGTTGTTAGGAGGGTGGAAACGGTCAAATAGGCTTTGCCTCCCAGAGTTCAGTGCTTGGAGTACTATGTGCATGGTCCATGTCTGTCTCTTGGACACATATTTCCCTGGAAAAGTTTCCAGCCTGAAAAATACAATTGAGAATTTCATGATGATAGCCCCAAACTTTCCAGTAGTCCATTCTTTTTGTTTAGATAATATTTCGTTATCAGTTCAGAATGATAATAGAGCTTATGTCCATGCTGCGAGTCATTGTCTCCTGCAGCTTTTTAAAGTTATTCTTCTGTTCCTTTTATATTTATATACAAAACTTGATTCTTTGTGCCGCAGACCCATTACCATCAAAAGATTTTGCTAAGAATGCACCACAATAAAGTGAGAGCTTATAAAGCAACGATACTCTATTTTGTGCTGACAATCAGGAGAAAGTGTTAAGTCCCAGTTTTCCAGTGAACCAACAGCCTCTGTATGCTGGTACCCGATACTTTAGCAAAACAAGTGTTGGTGCAGGTATACCATTTCCTTGAATGCCAGTTGTGACAGACTCCAATTCTAAATATCCCAGAGCCATATGGCAGACCCCATATGGCAAAAGAGGCCAATGAAGTATACCCATGCAGAGCATTGAAGAGTACTCACAAGTCCATTGAATCATCAAGGAGAAAAAGTCCCCAGGCTTCCCTTCATCCTGAATTATGCTTTTTTAAAAGAGCATAAACAAGTTCTGGCACTGAAGAGACAGACAATGGGAGCACACCAAGTGTAGGCTCTGAGCAGGCAAAAATCTTGAGATCAGATACACTTCACTGGAAATCCAAACCCAAAACTACATGTGGTAAACTCCTGAAGCATCTGGTTAAATTAAAGAAACTGGTCCCATCAATCAGAGTCGAGCCAAATTTACAGCCCATTTAAGGAAAGGATTGAGGGGTCCTGACTCATGCTGGTTTTTAAACGCTGTTTTCCCCAACACTTGATGGCTCTTGAGATTTTTTATCCCAGTGGACAGAAATCAAGAACACTCCAGAAGCAGCCCAGTAGAGCCGCCCAGGCATGCTGGTTTCAGACAGGTCTGCCAATCTGGGCATGTTCAGGCAGGAGATTGCTTGTGGCCAACTTGAAAACCACTGGAAGATTCAGCCTCTTGGGGACCCTAGGGCCTATGTTCAGAAAGAAGCCCATCCATATAAGCCTCACAGAGCAGATTACAGCAACGTTGGAATTGTTATTTTCAAGTGCTTACTTCATGACATTAAAAGAAATATTTTTTTCCTGGTATGTTAAATTAAAAATAAAATCATAACTTTTGACTTAAGAATAAACTATGTTTCTAGTTTCTTTTATCTCTTGTTCTTGGCAATTCAAAGGGGGCTTCCAGGGCACAGAGAGCAAAAATACTCAGAAGGGAGCAGAGCCCAAAAACGATATCATCCCCAATACTACTGCTCACAATCCCACAGGTATCCTGCCCTTCAATGCTGTATCATGGGTGTGACACCTTACAATTTATGTTTGCCAGACGTATTAGCTCACCAGAGCAGTCCTCGTGGGGCAGACATTCTAAGTCGGATCCCCATTTTATAGATGAGGAAACTCCGCTCATTTGATCAAATGTCACATAAGTAGAAGGAATGAGATTTGAATGTAATCTCCTTCATTTCGATTTCATTGTCACTATTCAAATCTTTTGAAATAAATAAAATTCTAATATTGAGCGCTGAACTAGGAAGCATTTTGCCATGTCATTGAACAAAGTGTTTCAGGCCAGAATATACGTTGGGGAAGATATTTAGGAAACACAGCTGTTCCTTCACAGGAAGGGGCCGGAAGTTACTCACAGGCTCCAGACAGCTATTAGCAAGGGGCCTCCCACCATCTACTCCCTGCTTGGAAAAGTTGGCCTTCAGCTTCTGGTGTTTTTACGTGTGTTCTATTGGATACTTTTTAGGTTCAGTGGTTTATGGCATTCTTCGCGGCTTTGAGGCACCTCTACACTGTGTACTACAGCAATGTTGTATTTATATTTCGATAAGTTGTACATTTATGTTTAAAACCAAGAGCCTGTTGTTTGTGGAGGATTTCCACAGCCAAATTACAATGAACACGCGTCTTTTCACATTTTCTCAGAATAAATTAAGATGAAGCTTTCTATTCTTTTGTACTTTAATGTATGTTCTTAACTCAGGCAAAATGTGAGGGGGACCCCATATGGCACACAAAGTATTTTTAACACCACCTCCCCTCTCTCCCCGCCGAAAAGGACGGAAGGAAAGAGGGAAGGAAGAGCAGAAGCAAACCTTAGGAGATGTTTGTGTCTTTGATAGCTGTCTCAGAAACCCAACAGAAACAGCTGTGCCATTATGCAGCTTCTGATAGAAACACAATCTCATTTCTGACACAAGCTTCATAAATGAATAAAGCAGGCATTAATTTTATATCATTGTCTAGCTAACAAAAATGCTGTACTTATGTAAGTTAGAAACCAAGAAATATATTACAGCAAACTTCCTAGGAGTAAAAAAAAAATGGGATCAGAATTCCAATATTTCAGCGACATGATCACTCTTGGTTGTTTGTTTATTTTTTCAAAATGAATGAAATTAATTGAAGCCACAGTAAGAGTCCTGAGTCAATGGTCAGGACAGTTAGAACAACCGGAAGTCCTCCCCACTGGTGGGTCAGTAGCTGATTAATTTCCAGCCCTGGCAGGCCTGGGGCAGGTCTCAGTTATTGCCAAACACCTCTCCGAGAGGCAATGGTGATCACAGGGATCTCCAGGGGTGTCCTCCACCCCACAAAACTGGACACACACACACACACACATGTGCGTGCATTCTCTCTCACCCTCTGTAGGTGATGTCCCGAAACATCGTATCCCTAATAAAGGACTGAAGGCAAGACGAGATGCTCTGGATCAGGGAAGATTGGATCCTACTGATCTAAAAGAGACGATCCCATTTTACACTGTAACCTTTACATTTTTTTTTCTGCTTTTCATCGCTTTTCAACTGTATAACAGTTGAAGGAAGTAACCATTGGTATTTTGCCTTATTTATCTATGCATTATAAAATATGCATTTATATAGAAAATATCTTACACATAGACATTATGAAAACCACATTGTAGCCTAAGGATTAAACACATGTGACACACGCCCCTGCGAACATGTGACAGCTCCCTCCTGACACAACCCCCTGCGATCTCACCACTGGATTCCAATCTTTGGTATTTTCAGACTCCCGGGGTGAAAACACTGTGCTACGCTCTGGAGGGTTTTATACACAGCTTCCTTTTATATCCACTACACTAATTCCTTTCATACCAGAGAGAAAAACTGCCCATCTGGGTATTTCTCTATGTTGTATTTATGAAGACACCAGTGAGTGTTTCTTAAGGCAGCCAATATCTGTCGGCGAAGAGAAGGCAGGTTTGCTATTCCTGAATCCTCCGCCGCTCAGTTATATGTGAGTTACTATAAAACACCAGAGCACTTTTGCAAATGAGTACTTTGTCTCAGAATTAGAAGTAGTTCTAATTTCGACTTAGTTTTAGAAAAATTAAATCAATACAACATAAATAAACCTAATGAGTTTCCAGAATGACTTTGGCCGCCGTGCCAAATCGTTTGTTCATTTACATGTAACCCGAATTCCCCTCGGGCCCACCAGCCTACGCAGGCGAACTGTGGCTGATGTGCAGCTCTCCGTGGTGCAGGAGCTGTGA